GGTTTAACAGTATAGGGTTTAGGGTTTAGGGTATAGGGTTTAACAGTATAGGGTTTAGGGTTTAGGGTATAGGGTTTAACAGTATAGGGTTTAGGGTTTAGGGTATAGGGTTTAGAGTTTAGGGTATAGGGTTTAAGGTTAGGGTTTAGAGTATAGGGTTTAGAGTTAGTTTAGGGTATCGGGTATAGAATTGAGGGTTTACGGTTTAGGACATAGGGTTTAAGGTTTAGGATTTAGGGCTTAGGGCCTTAATGGTTTGAGTTGGCCGTTCCATCTCCCGGGGATTTGGGGCGCCGAGCTTTATCTTACTTTGTCAAGTCTCCTAGGGGGAATGACAGGTAGCCTTTCCCAGAGGGTCCGAGTACCCAAATAAAAAGGTTCTAGGTCCCAAAATCCATACTCTGAATGGTTTTTGGACCTTGAAACCCTATATTTGGGCACTTGGACCCTCAGGGTTTGGGATTATAATAGGGGTTCTACTACCCCCAGAAGGACCGAAGGCGAATTACCTACTTTACCGCCAGGTTATGGCTCCTTCGAGGTTTAGGGTTTAGGGTTTAGGAGTTTAGGGTTTAGGGTTTAGGGTTTAGGGTTTAGGGTTTAGGGACCGCTTTTGACAAGGCACCTGCCACGCACTCTTGGAGCCATACTCGCCCTTGACGAGATTCCTGAAGTAGGTGCACGTTGGCAATGAAACCCTGTATCCTTGCCGGTCCTAGCCCTAGAGTGCCAAAGCCCCAGCCCAGAAAACCAAAAAAAAACATGCTAAACCTTGCAGATCTTGAAGCCCTCAACACTGAAATCCCACCCCAAATCTCAAAACCTCGGTAGCACCCCTTATGGAACCCTTTTTGAGGCAACCCTCAAAAACCAAAAAGCCCTAAACCCTAAACCCTAAACCCAAAAACGTCACCCCTTATGGAACCCTTCAACCCTCAAAAACCAAAAAGCCCTAAACCCTAAACCCTAAACCCAAAACCGTCCCCCTTAATGGAACCCTTGTTCGAGCAACGCTCACCACCAAAAAGCCCTAAACCCTAAACCCAAAACCGTCACCCCTTATGGAACCCTTTTTCGAGCAACCCTCAAAAACCAAAAACCCCTAAACCCTAAACCCTAAACCCAAAACCGTCACCCCTTATGGAACCCTTTTTCGAGCAACCCTCAAAAACCAAAAAAGCCCTAAACCCTAAACCCAAAACCGTCACCCCTTATGGAACCCTTTTTCGAGCAACCCTCAAAAACCAAAAAGCCCTAAACCCTAAACCCTTCAAAACCAAAAAACTTGAGGCTCGGAGAAAAGTGTAATGCACTTTTGCGGGCTCTTTCTGGGACTCTGGGTATTGAGGTTCTGGCTTTTGAGCTTTTAGGGTCTTAGGGGCTTTGGGTTTAGGGTTTAGGGTTTAGAGTTTAGGGTTTAGGGCGTAGGCATCTTCGTACGTGTGCCTTGAAAGCAGACATGTTCAAAGGAACGCGGAAACTACTAAATGGCTTCTTTCAGCCCAAACCACCGCACCCAGCTCTTCTATAAACTCAAACCCTTTGAAACCCTGCGCCCTAAACCCTAAGCCCAAGCCCCAAAGCCTCAACCCTAAACCCTAAAACCCTACACCCTAAACCCTACACCCCACACCCCAAAGCCTCAACTCTAAACCATAAATGCCAGAGCCCTCAAGCGACAAACCCCTAAACCCAACAAGCCCGAATCGCTAAACCTTAAAAAAAAACCAAGACATTCAGCAACAACTACCACGTTGGGGGCTTGAAATTCAGAGTAGGGGTGTCGAGCTTTCCCTAGTTTCCCTGGATTCAGGAACTGGAAGGAACCTCGGACCATGAGCAGAGAACCACTACAGCGGGCCCGACAGATTTGTAGAGTAGAGTAGGTTAGAGTAAGAGTAGAGCAGAGTAGGGTAGAGTAGAGTATCAGAGCAAGGGTTCAGGGAGTTCTCTACTTTCGCTAGACATCCCGACGCCCGAAAAGAGCCCCAAACCCTAAACCCTAAACCCTAAACCCGAACCCCTAAACCCAAAACCCCAAAAACCCCAAGGTAGAAGAGCCCCAGCGGCTTCGGGGCGCCCGGAAGGGGCAGCAGGCAAAGCGGCTTCAGCTTGAGCAGCTTGCAGAGCTGGAGCCTTCTTCAAGGGCTTCTCTCAGGGTTTGGGGTGTGGGGATAGGGTTTAGGGGTTAAGGGTTTACGGTTGAGGGTTTAGGGTTTACGGTTTAGGGGTTTAGGGTTTCGGGTTTAGGCTTTAGGGCTTAGGGCTTAGGGGGTTAGGGTGTAGGGTTTAGGGTTTAGGGCTTCGGGTTTAGGGTTAAAGGTTTCCTTCAGAGTTTTAAGACTGTCCGGGCTTGCTGGGTCTTAGGGAATTGGAGTTCACGGCAGTGTGGAAGTTTCGTGTTTTGGGCTTTAGAACTTCAGGTTTGAAGTCTTAGCACTGGCTCAGGGCCTTGAGGAGGTGTAGCATGTCGGCTTTCGTGTTAGAGGCCAAGCCTATAGTTCCTAAACCCTAAACCCAAAGCCCCAAAGCCCCTAAGCCCTAAAACCCAAAAGCCGAAGCCCCTAACCCCAAACCCTAAACCCTGAACCCCTTAACCCCTTAACCGAACCCCAAACCCCTAAACCCTAAACCCCTAAACCCTAAACCCTAAACCCTAAACCCAAAGCCTTAAGCCCAATGAGCGAAGCTGATACCCTGAAATGCCGTGATGCTTAAGCGTTTAGGGTTTAGGGTTAGATGTCCTGCTCCGAAGAACGCTGCACATACCATCTATCGATTCTGGGGTTTTCGGGCTTCTGGAAATAGGGTGTGAACCCTAGACCCTCAACCTTGCCCATCAAAGCTGCAAAAATCGAATAATACAGGCGTCTGAATCATTGGAATGGGATTTCGGGGGCTATGTTACGGCACAGCTATAGACTATGGTTGGACTACGGAACATTGCGGCGCTCACCCAAAACCCTAAGCCCTAAACCCTAAACCCTAAACCGTTGCACTAAAACGCAGCCCCAGCAGCAGCGACGAGCCCGCAGCCGACAAGTGCGCAGCGTTCCTCACGTTCCGAGATGCTCTGGAGAAGGTTTGGGGCTTTGTGTCTGTTGCTTTAGGGTTTAGTGGGTAGTGGGTTTAGGGTTTAGGGTTTAGGTCTTATGGGTTTTGGATTCGTTGGCTTAGGGAGTTGGGTTTCCGGCTGTAGGTGCCTAGGGGTTTGGGATGGACTGCATTACCAGAACGGCCCTAAACCCTAAACCCTAAACCCTAAACCCTAAACCCTAAACCCTAAACCCTAAACCCTAAACCCTAAACCCTAACTAAAAAAAACTAAACCCTAAGCCGATGCTTGGGTGGCCTTTGAGTTCGGCATCTTGGGGCGAAGGTTCCAAGGAAGACTCGACGGCACAACGCAACCCTAAACCATAAACCCTAAACCCTGAACCCCAATCCCTCAACCCTGAACCCTAAACCCTGAAGCCCTGAAATCCTAGAACCCTAAACCCTGAAACCCTGAAACCTAAACCCTGAACCCTGAAACCTAAATCCGAAACCCTGAAACGCTGAAACCCTGAAACCCTAAATCCGAAACCCTAAACCCTAAACCCTAAACCCTAAACCCTAAACCCCTAAACCCTAAACCCCAAAGCAACAGACACAAAGCCCCAAACCTTCTCCAGAACATCAGCTCAGGTGCAGCAGAACGGAGTCACCAGGCTTCAGCTTTGCACCGAAGATCTCCAAAAGCAGGTAGGCGCAGACCTGTTTTGGAGTTTAGGGTTTAGGGTGTAGGGCTTAAGGTTTAGGGTTTAGGGCTTTAGGGTTTAGGACTTTGGGTTTTAGAGTTTAGGGTTTAGGGATTTGGGTTTTGGAGTTTAGGGTTTAGGGATTTGGGTTTAGGGTTTTGGAGTTTACGGTTTAGGGCTTAGGGCTTCGGGTTTATGGCTTAGGGCTTAGGGTGTGTATAGGTGTTTTGGAATTCTTGGGTTCAAGGCCTCATATGGTTTACCGGTTTAGGGGCTTACGGCTTGGGATTTACATAGGTGTTTAGGGGTTCAGGGGCGTTCAGGGGTTTAGGGGCTTAGGGGCTTAGGGCTTTAGGCCTCAGGCCTGAGGGTTAAGAGTTTAGGGCTTTAAGGTTTAGGGTTTAGGGAAACCCTAAACCCTAAACCCTAAACCCTGAACCCTAAACTCTGAACCCTAAACCCTAAACCCTAAACCCTAGGGTTTAGGGCTTTAAGGTTTAGGGGTCTAGGCTTTGTGGGTTTCAGGGGTTCAGGAAAAAGGCGGCTTAACGGCGGAGACTCTGCGAGGGCTTTAGGGCGTAGAATTCTAAGCTTAGGGTTTAGGGTTCAGGGTTTAGGGTTTAGGATTTTAAGGTTTGGGGCATTCGTGCCTCAAGTTTTGGGAGTTTTTGGATGTTTTGGGTCTTTTGGGTGTTTAGGGTGTTTTGGGCTCTAAACCCTAAACTCGAAGCCCTAGAATTAGAAAAACCCTGAGCTCTAAGCCCTAGAACTAAAAACCCTACACTCTAAGCTACGAGAATGAAAAACCCTAAACTCTAAGCTAAGAGAATGAAAAACCCTAAGCTCTAAGCCCTAGAACTAAAAACCCTAAATCTAAGCTAAGAGAATGAAAAACCCTTAAACTCTAAGCCCTAGAACTACAACCCCAAACCCTAAACTCTTTTGGGTGTTTTGGGTCTTTTGGGTGTCTGGGGGGGGTGGGTCCTAAACCCTAAACTCTAACAGCAGCTCTAGAATTAAAACTCCTACACCCCTTCAGCTTTACTCCTTAACCGCTCATCCTTAAAGGCTCAAAGATCCGAGCCCTCATCCCAAGACCGCGATCGTTGACGGCTCAGGGATTAGGACTTTGGGTCTAGAGTTTACGGTTTAGGGTTTAGGTTTTAGGGTTTAGGGTATGGGGTTTAGGGTTTTGGGTCGCCCTCTTTCCTAAATCTAAGGTCCGTATGATGCCTCTGCATCGATGAGGATCCTAATAGTTGGCGTTGGGCGGTCTGGGTTCAGGGTTTAGGGTTAAGGGTCTGCGGGTCTAGGTTCAATATATTAAGTTTGGGCTTGCGATGGGGCTCCAAAAGGCCTGATGACTCGCCAATTTCTCCGGCCTAATCGAGGGCTCGAACCGTTTACCTTTTTAGGTAGATGGTTCCGCAATACCATAGGAGCTCCAAGTTTAAAATAGGGTTTCGAGGTTTATTACAAAGCTACCCTCAATCCGAAAGCCTAAGCCCTTCCCCAGCCGAAAGAGTTCTGAAACAGGAGCCCGATGGAATAGTGTGCTGAGGGTTCAACCCAGGCACTCTTGCGTAGAGGCCCCGAAACCCCCTCAAAAACTGAAGGGCGTGGATTGTTAACTGTGCTATGGGCTTTGGGCTTAAGTTTATGGCCTGAAGCCGAAAGCCCCCCAAGAACAACCGCAGTCTTTATTCAGACCAGCCAGGGTGCGATGGTCGGGGCCAAGCAGATCTGCTCCGCCGTCAGCTCCTCTTGCACCTAAGTGCGGATCGCCAACGACCGATCATGGACAGCTTGTGTTCAGGATTTAGGGGTTTGCGCTAAACCCTAAACTTAAACCCTAAACCCCTAAATCAGATGGGCTTAATCAAGGACTTGATGCTTTGGAATGTACGACATGGTTTGTGTTTTTAGACGCTGCAAAATTCTGTACACCAACAGTAACATGACAACCATACATGCAGTGTAGGGTTTGGGGTTCACTAGAAAATGTATATATTTAGAGCAAGTTGTCAGAAGACAAGGGTTTCCTTGTGTAGTAGAGGTCTTGACGACAACTCTTCTAGGCCACTTCAAACCCCCACATCGAACCCGCCTTTCCCTAAACTTCTAGACCCTACACCCTAATCCCTGAAACCTAAAACCTAAACCCGAAATCATCCCTGAAACCTAAAACCTAAACCCGAAACCCTAAACCCGAAATCTTATAACCCGGAATCCTAAACCGGGCACCTCGGAGGGGACGCGGATGAGATCCTCCTCGCTGCAGTGCAGCAGCGTACGCGAAGTACCGATCGGACGCCTGGAGCTTCGGAAACTCTTAGGGCTTGCCCAAGTCAGGGATTGAGGTTTAGGTTCGGGAGACGTGGCGTCGCTGTTCGAGGCTGGCCCGCGTTCTCCCCTCATACCCCGGGAAAGGTTTAGGGATTAAGGGATTGAGGTTTAGGGTTTTAGGGTTTAAGGATTAAGGGATTGAGGTTTAGAGTTTTAGGGCTTTTGGGTTTAGGGTTTGGGGTTTAGTCTTTAGGGATTGGGGTGAAGCGTTTTAGGAATTGGGGCTTGGGGTTCAGGGCTTAAGGGTTGGGGTTGACGTTTTTCGCTTTAAGGCTTTAAGGTTCAGGGCTTTACGGTTTGGGTTTTCTGTCAGTCTAGGGCTTAGAACCCTAAACCCTAAACACTAACGGCCCCAAACCCTAAAACCCTAAACCGACTTCCCAAACCCGAAGACTTTCGCAGCAGAGATGCTGAGATGAAAACTTCGTCGGCTTTGGGAGGACCAGCACCATGTCTTCCTGCACCCGGTTTAGGGTTTAGGGTTTAGGGTTTAGGGTTTAGCAGAGGAGTTGCCGGGTGAAGGGCTTGGGGTTTGCGGTTTAGGGGTTTTGGGTACTTCGAATTTGGACACCAGTTCTGGATAGGGGTAGCGAATAATCAGAGGCTTAGAGCGAGCTGGGGTTTCAGGGACTGGACTCACATGGCTTAAAGGGTTTCCGAAACCCTAAACCCTCAAAAACACATAAACCCTAAACCCTAAACCCTTAAAAACATAAACCCTAAAGCGTCACCCCTGAACCCTAAACCTAAACTGTAGATACCGATGCCCAGGACCAGGACCTTCATCCCAACTTCGGACGCCTGAAAGAACCAAGGGTTTAGGGTTTAGGGTTTAGGGTTAACTTCGATTCTGAAGACCCCTTAGTAAAGACTTATCGGGTTTTATGCGGACTTTTAGGGGGTATCGGGCTCTCTGGGAAGATCCAAACATCAGAGCCCGTCTTCCTGCAGTACCCTGTGCTAGAGGCTGCCAAGACAATGCATTTCCCAGAGGTTTAGAGTTTTAGGGTTCAGGGTTGTAGGGTTTAGGGTTTAGGGTTTTTAGGGTTTAGTAGCGTTTAGGGTTGTAGGGTTTAGGGTTTAGGGTTTAGGGTTTAAGTCTTTAGACTTAGTAAGCACTGGATGTCGGCGCGGTAAAGTGGATGCTTCGAGGAAGGGCTGCGACATCGTCCTGATCCAAAGTGCTTGACCCATGAAGCCTTGACCCACTACTCTCTATAAGTTTCAAGGGTCCTCAATCATTCGAACAGGGCTTTGGGGTATGCTAGGGTTTGGGGTATATTGCTATATTACAACATCGCCATGATTCCAGAAAAAACTAGTAACTAGTAACTAGTCTGGCGGTAGGTAGGTAGGTAAGTAGGTAGGTAGGTAGGTAGGTAGGTAGGTAGATAGGTAGGTAGGTAGGTAGGTAGGTAGGTAGGTAGGTTAGATCGGTCGGTCGGTCGGTCAGGCAGGCAGGCAGGCAGGCAGGTACGTATGTGTGTATGGCTGCTTGTGTCTTATGTACATATGTATGCACACACACAGATATACATATATATATATATATGTATAGATACATTTACATATATACTCATATACATATACAGTCATACGCATATAAATATATATATATATATATATATATATACATATACACATGAAAAGTATGTGTGTATGTGCCAGCACATATATATATATATATGGATATATACAGATGTGTGCATAATTATAGACAGAGATCTACATAGACATACCAGAAGGCTTAAACAAAAAACGGTTCTGCTCGACCCTTGCTTCTCTTACTTGGCAGTATGCTAGGGGAACGGTGAACCTTTGGGATCACGTAGAGAATACACACTATCCCCCCAAAAAATTACTGAAGGTAACCTACTCTATTACCCTAAACCCTAAACCCTAAACCCTAAACGCTCTGCTTCCCCAACCTCCTTCAGCTCTTCGCAACGGGCGCCAAGCTGCTCGACCTCCAGGGCTTGGGATTTAGGGTTTTAGGGTTTTTAAGGGCTTTTTTTCAAGTGCAAGGACTCTTCTCTGTGTGAATCCGAGCCTGCCCCCAATTGAGGTTTTAGGGTTTAGGGTTTAGGATATTGAGGTGTAAGGGTTTAGGATTTAGGGTTTAGGGTTTAGGGTTTGGAGCTTAGGGTTTAGGAAATTAACGGCTTTTTGATCAAGGTGTCAGGGGCCCTTTCTCTCTCCGCACTCGCCCGGCCTCCTTGAGGCCTCACCGCATGCACTTTAAGGTTTAGGGTTTAGGATTTCTAGAAATTGCAGGGTTCGGGTCCTGAGTTTTGACTGATTTTTTTTGACCGGGTTTCGCTTTTTGCTTTGCCCTTTTAGGACTCAGGTCCTGAGTTTTGTCGGGTTACGGTTTGGTGCGGTTTTGGGCGGGTGTTGCCTTTTGCGTTGGCTCGGTTGTTGAGGTCCTGAGTTCTGTGCGGGTTTTGCGCGGGTTTCGCCTTTGCTTTGCCCTGTCGCTATGGTGCTTCTATTCTATCCGTCAAACATTGAAAGCAAAGTAATGATACAGGAATCGAAAGGGCCCTGCACGGTTCAACAAACAATTTCTATTTATCCTGGGATTGAGGTTTTAGGGTTTAGGCGGCTTGGGGGATTTAGGGTTGCGTGCAGGCTCGGGGGACTTGGCAAGCAGCGTCTAACTCAGGATTCCTCTACAGAGGAAAGCTATGTACAGCAAGGTATGATACAAAAAGGTCGTCGTTACGTTTACCATAGCTTCTTTAACGATGAGACATCGTTAAAGAAGCCATGGTCAACGGAAACAGTCATGACAACGGTAATGAAAATGGTGCGCAGCATAAAAACTGCCAAACCAGCGACGCATTACTTGGAGCAGGGCCTTAATAAGTAGACTCGGGCTTTGGGGGTATGTAGTACTATAAATATAATAAGGAACCCAAAGAATAATATAGGTCATTTTTTTGAAGCCCCTAAAATACTTGGAGAAGGGCCTTGCCCACACCAGTCATGCCCAGGCAGACTCCCGACTTGTTCAGCTCCTGTCCGAATCTCCGCTGAAAGGCTCGGTTGGGTAGGGTTTAGGGTTTAGGG